GAAGTTGGTACAATATTAAATTGTAAATTACAAAATTATTTCCCAAAGACGTTATTGTATGCATTAATAAAAGGGAGGATGGGGGCTGGGGATTTAGCTCAGTGGTGCCGCCACCTGCCTCGAAAGCACAAGGTCCCAAGTTCAATTCCCGCTACCAAAAAAACAAAAAATAAAAGGGAAGACAGCTGATAGCTGAGTAAAGAAAACATAGCTAAAGCTATTTTGAATGTTCAAGAACCCTAAATAACCTGTCAAGTGTGTTGATTTTGGTCTGGATACATTCTTAAAACATGTATTTGACTAAAGAACAGGTTACCTGAAGCCAGGCGTGGTGGCACATACCTGTAATTTCAGCACTCTGGGAGGCTGAGGCAGGAGGATTGCAAGTTTGAGCCCAGACTGGACAATTTAGTGAGACCCTGTCTCAAAATTTTGGAAGTTTAAGAAGGGGTGAGCATATAGCTCAGTGTGAAGGCCCTAGGTTCAATTCTTAGTATCACACACACACAAAAAAATCCACAAACAACAACAACAAGCAGGTCACCTGAAAAGTAATATAAGTTGTTGTCCCTGGTGCTATGTCAGGACAACTGCCAGCCTTCAGTGTTTTGGTCAACAAACCACTTAAGGAGGCTTTGAGGAAAGAACATGAATCTGAACACTTTCTATTATCATCTTCTGATAAGATCAAGAAAGCACCAACTCCAAAGATTGCAAAATGAGTGTCAGAGGCTTAAAGAAAATCCCAGGTTGGGGGCCAGGGATTTAGCTCAGTGGTTTCGCCGCCTGCTGCGCAAGCGCAAGGGCCTGAGTTCGATCCCTGGTACCAAAAAAAAAAGGAAAAGAAAAGAAAATCCCAGGCAAAGAGGCTTAAAGAAAATCACCCTCCCTCTTTCTGGTAGAGAGAAACACAGACAATGACAATTAAAGGTGTTTCAAAAGAGTCAGACTATGAATGTGGAGAAGTTTTATGAATACCTTAACCAATTTACTTTAATTTTTCATTTATGCTCAAAAACGGTGTGCAAAAAATTCTATATGTCTAAATTAACATTTATTTATTTTTTGAGACAGGGTCTCACTATGTAGTTCAGGCTGTCCTTGAATTCACTATGTAGCCCAGGCTGGCCTCAAACACACAGTGATCCTCCTGCTTCAGCCTCCCAAGTGGTGGGATTACAGGTGTGCACCACCACCCCGAGCTCTAAATTAATTTTAAAAATGCTTTTTTGAGGGCCAGGGATTTAGCTCAGTGGTTCCGGCCCTGCTGTGCAAGCGCAAGGTTCCGAGTTTGATCCCCAGTACCAAAAATAAATAAATAAAATGCTTTTTTGAGTAAACCTAAAATGGAATTGTAAGTGATAAAGCACAGCATCATAGTTAAATTGGCAGCATTTTTCTACTCACATACAATGATGTATCATCAATGAGGTCTTACAGACAATGAAATACAGGTATTGTACGTTGATTCTAGATCAACCATCCTCTTTAGGGCCTCTTATTTACCCTGTCTCTAATATTTATTTTCTTTCCTTTCATGTCCTGTTTCTTTATCTTTTTGAAGGAGGTTTTATTTTCCCTTCCACCAGTTTCTAATCAGTCAGTGTTTATTCTAGACATAACTAGGACTTTATTCTTTAATAAAGCTTCAATAAATGTCAGCTGCTATAATAACAAAGGAAATGGAAAGCATTCATGTACATTAAGTAGAAGAGGAATGGCACAAAGGTCTCTTTACAAATGTAATGTCAAATATGTCACGTACAGGTTTCTAGGTTTTCATGGCCTGGGAAATATATAAATACCCATACAAAAAAAAGAGAGATGAGTGATAAAGAGAGTCCAAGGAAAGAAGTGAAGATTAACCTACTTTTATTCCAACATCAGGTCAGGAAGAATGGGCTTCTACTTTCCTTTATCACCCACTTCTTCCATAAGAAAGATATAACCAGAGACACTGAGCTGGATGAGGGTGAAACAGACTGATCCAAATTGGATAGGCTGATAATTTATTCTCTAAAGTAGGGATGATGGGAAATTGTAAATCAAGGGGTCATCTCAAGACAGCAGGGAAAGCACTGATCCCTAAGGCAGCAGGGAAAGCACTGATCCCTAAGGCATCAGTGCCTCAGGCAGAATTACAAAGCAAAAAGACGTCTTAATCTTCTAGTATTCAGTACACACAATTTCCCTGAATTTCCAAGTCCTAAAAAGAGAAATTAAAATTGACATTCATACACAAAGGCAGATTTCTCAGCTATTGATTCCCTCCAGTAGTTATTCAGATTAAAATTGTGTGTGTGTGTGTGTGTGTGTGTGTGTGTGTGTTATAAATAGTTTCCTATTTTGATTGTGGGGCAAGATATTCTGGAAGTGGTTAAAAAGAATGATCATAGATAAGAGGTGAAAAAAGACCAGAAAGGAGAAAGTAGTTTGTCTCTCTTTTCTTATAAACAGTCTGTTCTCCCTAGTGTCTTTTTCTCCCTCCCTCAACTCTCTTCTTTTGCTTTCTCATCCTTTTCATTTGAAGGCTAAAGAATGTTTTCTTTGAACAAATATATATGTACTAAGTACCCACACCAGATATTGTGCTGGAAGACAAAGGTAAATGAGACAGACATAATCCTTTCCCTCATAGGGTATTGTTTTATTTGTTTAGTGGGGTTTTTTGTTTTTTGTTTGTTTTGTTTTGTTTTGTTTTGCAATACTAGCAATTGAACCCAGGGCCTTTACTTTGAGCTACAACCCAGATCTATTAAATTTTTTTTTCAATTCTGAGACAGGTTCTCACCAAGTCACTTAATTGCCTAAGCTGGGCTTGAACTTGCAATCCTCCTGTCTTAGCTCCACAGAGTGCTGGGGTTACAAACATGCACCACTACACCTGGCTGCTCACAGAGTTTTAATCTAGCAAGCAAGACAAGTATTCAATCAGTAATTATAGTTTGAAAAAACCTGCTCAAAATACAATACATACCATGATCCTTTTTGTTAATTAAAAAAAAAATTTACAGGCATTTAAATGGTTTTCAGAAATAGGTATTTTTAATCAGGTGACTTAAATGTCTCTTAAAACAGAACTAGTATGTTTTTATAGTCATAAGGCTCTTTTTTTTCTTCAAAAAAAATTTTTTTGAGACAGGGTCTCTCTATGTAGCTCAGGCTGGCCTTGAACTCATGATGTAGCCCAGGCTGGTCTTGAAATCACGGTGCTCCTCTGGCCTTGGCCTTCTGCACACTGGGATTACAGGCAAGCACTGCCATACCCAGCCAATAAGGCTCTTTATTATTTTGCTTATTTGGGCTGAATGGTTCTAGATTGTTTTTAAAAAAGAAAAAAGAAAAAGAAAGAAAATTATAGCACTAGTAGCAAAATAATTACTGTAGTCTGTACCTAAGTGATATAAGGAAAAGTTCAAGAGCTTGCAAAAATACCATAAATATACTAAGAGGCTGAGACAGGAGGATTACAGATTTAAGCTTAGTCTGGGCAACTAAGTGACCTAATGAGACCATGTCTAAAAAAATTTTTTTTAAAGGGTAAGGTTGTAACTCAGTGGAAAGGCCCTAGGTTCAATCCCCAGTACCTCAACAGCAAAGTACATATTTTGCAGAGATTAATTTGCAGAAATTAACTTGCAAAAATTATCTTTGAAGAAATTAATATTTGCAGAAATTAACTTGCTCCTCCTATCTCCTTTATAAAAACCCTAAAAGATTGATTCAGTCTTCAGATTCTTCCTCACTCCAATTTCGACTCCCTGAATTTCAATTTCCTTTTCTCAAAGGTATTTATTTTATTTTTTCAACAAAAATAATGACAATTGAACCATTTCTCATAAGACAGGCTATATTTACATAATATTTACAAAGAAAAAATTCTAGAAGGAAATAAAATGTTGATATGCCTAAATAAGTTAAGCAAGGGCTAGTGGGAAAAGATTTCAAGACAGGTGACAGATAAGTGGTTTATAAAAAAATATATTTCTAACTAGCAAGGGAGGTAAAAGTGACCATATTGAACTTAAACATATGTTGAGATGGATTATACTTAAAATTTAATTCCCAATGATGTGACACCCTTGGGACAACTTATTTGTACCATTTTAGCGCCTTGCTAACAGCAAGCTCAATAAATGTTAGCTCATTTTAACACAACCATAAATTGCCCGATAAACATTTATTGAGCATTTATGAGTAGTAACCAGGACAAAACTCTAAACAACACCGAAATGCTTCTACAATGAATCATGGGATAAAAGAAAAAGAGAAACAATTTATTAGAGGAAATATGGAATCTGGAAATACGAAATCTGTAGGCAGATTCTTTCAGTAGAAGATTCTTTCTATAGCAAATTACTGAAGCTTCTATGAGTATTTATCAGTTTATAGGTCTCAGAGATGGAAGAGGAATAGATCCATACTGTGGTAAAGGCTATTTTCCCACTAATACCCAAATCTTCTCTTCCTCCTCAGTAGCAGAAGCCCAATTTTGAGAGCAGCCATGCACTCAGCTATATTTTCCTGCTCCCTTGTAGCACGAACCTGGAGAAAATCTCCTGAAAGAAGGAGGAGGCATCTTTGCCTTGCTGTCTGGAACTTGATTGATGGCTGAGATCTGGCAGCCCTTTTGGGCTATGAGAATCAGGGCCACACCTTAGTAATCACAGGTCAACAAGCTGGAAGACTAGGTCTTATGACTTTATGAAGCCACTATACCTATTCCAGACTGCCTATTTCAAGAATAATTTCAAATGAGAAAATAAATACTGTGTGTTTAAGCCATTATTAAGTTTGTTTTGGGGTTTTTTTTTTTTCTTTCTGGGTTTTATTAATGTCATTGGTGGTAGTTGTTTTGGTTTGTTACCAAAATCAGTTATTTCCCCCCCTTTTTTTTTGGTACCAGGGATCGAACTCAGGACCTTGCGCTTGCAAGGCAGGCAGCAGAACCACTGAGCTAAATCCCCAGCCCAACCAAAAGCAGTTAACTGAGCACTTACCTTCAGGCAGGTAAAGAATTTTTATCTTCTTTTTTACAGATGAAGCAACTAAGATCCAGAGAGGTAGGATGACTTGCACAATACCAAGCTAGTGAAGAGTTACTCTTGACTCCTAGTCCAATGCTTTTTCATGACAAACTGACTCTTTGGCTCTAAATGTAATTTTTAAAAAGGAAAAATATAAAGACACATTAAATATAATACAGTTAGACATAGTATACTGTAATGGTACGTTACACTACATGCATTTGTCACATGGTATGAAAAGGAAAAGTACCAAATTTTTATGATGTAGGAGACTAAGTTACATTCTTTTGAGTGGAGAAGAGAGATACACAAAATAAACAGAATCAAAGACCAGAATAACTAATGATACTAATTTACTGTGCCCAAGTTTTACCACATTGCTCCCCCTTTAAATAACAAAGAGGAATTCAGGTGAAAAGCTAATTTTTTTTCAGTAATAAGACTTTAAGTTATGGAGTAACTTTTCCTGTTAAATTCTTAATGGGAATCTTTCTTTACTGTTATCATTTTTTTTAATTAGCCTTGATTCAGTCTGTCATAGAGATCAGCAATAAGACATTTCATATTCTTTTTTGGTTTGTTTTTTTTTGGTACCGGGGATCGAACTTGGGTCCTTGAGCTTGCCCAGCAGGCGGGGAAACCACTGAGCTAAATCCCCGGCCCTCATATTCTTTTTTGAAACTCCACTACATAATACAAGACAGCCCATATACAAACTCATTGGTGAACATAATCAATTATTTCTAAGTAGTCCAAAAAATAATAAGCAAATGAAATATTTTCAATTTTTAATAACACCCACACATGCACACACACACATCTTTCCCCTCAATACAGGCAAGTGAACCCAGGGAGTGCTGAGCCACCTCCCCAGTCCTTTTTAATTTTTCATTTTGAGACAAGGTCTCACTGGGCTGCCGGGGCTGGTTTCAAACTGGTAATGCTCCAGCTTCAACCTTCTCGGTAGCTGAGGTTATAAAAGTTCATCATGCCCAGCTGTTCATTTTTTAGATATTATATTTAATATAAAATCATCTATGCAGCAGAGTGGTCATATGAATGTTGGAGCTTGTAAAGGTACATAACTTTTATTTATAGACCATGGTAAATCAAATCCTAACTTCTTCCATTTATTGGCAAGCTATTTGTTTTCCTTTCTTTTTTCCCTTGTTTTTAAGGTGCTCAGGCTGGAACCCAGGGCTAATAAAGTGGTCTATCATGTTACTGGAGCTATATCCCCAGCATTCTACTTGGTTTTCTTTTTTTTTTTTTTTTTCCTTGAAACAGGGTCTTGCTTTGTAGTTCAGCCTGGCTTTGAACTCACTACGTATCCCATGCTGGCCTTGAACTCATGGCAATCCTCCTGCCTCAGCCTCCTGAGTGCTGGGATTACAGGCAGAAGCCACCACATCCAGCTTCCCAGATAGTACATTTTGTTTCGGGGGGTTTTTTGGGGTACTGGGGATCGAACTCGGGACTTTGCGCTTACGAGGCAGGTGCCGGAACCACTGAGCTAAATCTCCAGCACCCCAGGTAGTACATTTTGATATCATGGTTTTCTTGCTCAGATAGTCTTTCCTACCCTTTGTCTCTCTCTCCTGGTCAGCACCTGCCCATGCAGCAGCCTCCAAACCATGCCTTGCACTACTTGGTTTTCTGAGTCTTGATTCTCTTACCTATAAAATTTAATTAATACTTGTTCATAAGTTTGTTGACAAGATGAAAATAAGAATGAATACAAAGCAACTAATATGGTATATGAAAATAGCAAATGCTCAAGTATTAATGTCTACATACAATATTTATTTTTGAAAGGCCACATTAAAGCTTTTCTCTGAATGTTGCTATAACCAAAGCTCTACTGCAGCTATAAGTCAAGAACACATCCAACAAGAACAGAACACAATCTCTTCCTCCTACCTGTTAAAACACTGAGCTGAAACAAGAGACCCAGGGTTTTTTCGCAAAGGCACTCTCCTGAGCCAGGAAACCTGGGTTGCTTCTTCTTTCTGTCATAGGGTGAAAAGGGTGGGGCAGGGAAAAATAAACGGCTTCTGAGTTTCTGGATTGCATCAGTAACAAGGGCAACTAGTTAATCCAGTGCTCAGATGGTTTGCTCTTTGAAAATGAGGGTTGGTGAAAAAGTCAGGTTTAAAACAAAACAGCAAGTGTATGACCAGCTGATCTGGGCTTCAACTCTTCCTTAATCAAGACATCATTATAGAGCTTTGTTTCTGATGTTCCTATCAGTAGTAAGGGACAGCAATCAAGGAAACCATTATAGCTTCCTTTTTTCCAGTATGCTTGGTAAATAGACGTATGAAAAGCGTAAACTGTTGTTCAAATGCACCACTCAAAAATATGTTTATTAAAATTACAATGACCTCAATATTTACATATATAAAATACGTCCAAAAAAATCTCTGCCAAAAATAAAAGCATGGGGCTGATATCTCAGTTTCCCTTAGGTTGCTTGAGAATTTTAGAATCTTATTTTTTTCCTTTGGTACCAGGGCTGGAACTCGGGTCCTTGCGCTTGCACAGCAGGTGGCGAAACCACTGAGCTAAATTCCCAGCCCAGATTTTAGAATCTTAATGGTAATCTAGTTCAGTCTTTACTTTAATAAAAAGTTATAAAAGCACAAGGAAGTTGACTTCACTAAGATCAACTGCCAGAACAAAGATTGGAATCCGGCCTTGAAATTCGAATTAAATATACTTGTCACCACATTGGGCTTTAAAAAACTTTTAAATTGAAGTGATTGAGATCTTTTCCTTGAATAAATTATATTAAGTTACTAGGATCCTGCTTTTTAAAGTTTATAAGCTAGTTTCATGTATTAAACATAAAAATAGTCAATTTTCCCTTATTAGACCTTTAGTTGTAGGGAAAAAAGTTATCTATCACAACAAATATAGTCAACTCAATTATTCATGACACTTAAAAATTATCTATTTTAAAGATTTTTTTCAATACATTTTAATATCCTATACTTGATTCTTCCAGCTACCTAACACATTTTTTTTTTTGTACTGGAGATTGAACTTGGGACCTTGTGCTTGTGAAGCAGGCGGCGGAACCACTGAGCTAAATCCCTGCCCCAACCTAACACTTTTGAGTAAGTGCATTTTGCTACCCCAGCTATCAAAAAAGGTCCTTAGGGAATAAAATGTGATTTTTTTTTTTTTTTTTTTTTTGGTATCGGGAATTGAGAACTCCGGACCTTGCGCTTGCAAGGCTAGTGGTGGAACCACTGAACTACATCCCCAGCCTAGTGTGATTTTGATTTAGATAATTCTAAGTAACACAAAATTGGTTTGGGATATTTTCAGAGACATACAACATATCCTAAAACAAAAAGACACTGGAGTTGATCATATTACTGATATTCTAAGTTAGTACCCATAATTAATAATTAGTGCTTTTGCAAAGTACCCTATTTGCTTCAATTGTGACTTCATTTCAATTATTATGTACAGATCACAAATCAACTTGGCACAAGGCATGCTGAAAGGATACATAAAATGTATAATATGAACTGAGCTTGGTGGTGGATGCCTGTAATCCCAGCACTCTGGGAGACTCAGGTAGGAGGATTACAAGTTTGAGACCAGCCTGGCCAAATGACCAATTTAGCAAGACCCTGTCTCAAAATAAAAACATAAAAAAGGGGTGGACATGTAGCTCAGTAGGAAGGCCCTGGGTTCAATTCAGAGCACAAAAAATGCAATCCAAAATGCAAAAAAAAAAGTATGACATGAATAATAAGTACCTGAGGAGAGCGGAGGGAGGGATACATAAAGGAGGCTTCACCCTTAGAAGCTGGATGGGACCATGGAGAGTGTGAAGACCAAGATGAGAAAGTTCACCCTAATAACAACAGTGATATTATTTGAGATTCCACTTATAATTCTAAATTTCTGTGATTTAAATCTTTTACTCTATTAACTGTGGAGCACTTGTTGAAATATTTGTTTATCCAATATTTCTTTAACTTGCTCAGATTTTATAAAACAAGGATTCACACTCAGATTAAATCAGGATGAATCCATGGGCCAAGGATTTAGCTCAATGGTGCCCCCACCTACCTTACAAGCACAAGGTCCTGAGTTCGATGCCCGGTACCCAAGAAAAAAAATCAGAATGAATCCTCGGGGAATTTCTATGAGGAATAAATTACAAGAACCTGGATATTCCAGAGTCCAATTATTTAACAGAATCCACCAGAGAAGACCTTAAGAAACAAACTGAAATAAGTAAAAAAGGCTGCAATAGGTTATCTGAAACAAATCTACCCTACCACTAGTCATACTGCTTTCGGCCAATTCCTTAGGCAATAATCTCGGTTTTTTAAACGTTGCTACAGGAAAAGCCCACAATTTCCTTCAAATAAAACTATCAGCAATATTTGCATTTACTCTCCCCTGCCTTTTTTTTTAACCTAAGTTTTAAAAATGGGTTAATGTTCACCTTCATCCATGGATATAACAGAACCTTAATAACAGATTTGGATGATAGTGTTTACTAATTCAATTGTATAAAAGGTACATTATCCAACATAGAAATTTAATGGTCACGAAAATTTTCAAGAGGTTCTGTCTCCAAGAAAAGCGGAATTAAGATCTCAGGTTCATTCTCATTGTCTCCCCCTCCATCCCTTTCTCTCTCGTGTTGTAAAATAATTGCCACGTAAAACCGCTACCGACACCAACCACAATAACCACATTTACTCCCTGGGTTAATTAACACTTAGCAGGTGCAACAGGAACTACCGTCTTCCTGACCCCCTAAAACCGAAAGGGCTCCTCTCGCACTTCATGTGTCACTTGAAGGAAGTAGATAGTACAAGAAAGGCACGAACTTTCTCCTAAGTGTCAGGGACCGCTGGCTTCCCAGAATGGGCAGCGAGCAGGATTCCCAGGCCTAGCTCGCCCGCGGCGGAGAGGTGGGGAGCACCAGCTGCGATTGGTGGCGAGAACCCCCCACCAGCGGGGTCCTCCCTCGCCCCCTGACCCACCGGGACCCGGGTGGACCAGCCCAGTCTTGCTCCTGCATCTATCCCAGCCTGCTCTCGCCAAGAGACTCTGAAGAAAGCCCCGCAGCGAGTGGAGCGGAGGAGGGGACCCCGAGCCTCGGGATGGAGCAGGGAGCCCCCTCCACCCGCGGGGCCCACTGAGCCCCCGCCATGCTCACCTCCCTGGCAGCACGAGAAGACCTGTGTCTCATCGCAGCACCCGCCCTAGCCTCCCGCTGTACCCATCCGCACCCACCTCTAGGCCACCAGCCTCACCTGGTGGGGTCTCGACACGCAAGCCTCCGCCTGCTGGATGCCTACCGCGAACAGATCTGACTCCTCAGCCGGCTGCCCAAGGCTTTGCCTTGGACCTCTGCCCACTGAGCGCGCCTCCGCCTCCTCGCTGCCATGGCGACAGCCCCCGCCTCCCAGCCGCCGCTGATTGGTCCAGCTCGGAATCGCGGAGGTCGCCGATTGGTCGGGATGGGTACAAAGTCGCGCGGGCGCCGCTGAAGGCGGGCGGTGCGGAGAGCCTAAGAGCTGGAGTCAAGGCGAGGCTTAGCCAAGAGGGACGTGGCGCTCTGCGACGCGGTGAGGAAGCCGCGCCTCTTCCTTCCCTAACTTTACTGGAGAAGCCTGTGGAGCAGGACTTGGGCGGGTGAGGTGCGGTCTGGAGACCCGGTTGGACCCCCAGGGATGGCCTTGGTCGCCCTAAGGGTCGGAGAGGGCTGTCAGGCTCTTTCTCACACAGGCCTCAGAAGGGGTCCTGGTGTTTGTAATCTCACTCATCTCTTTTATGCTGGGCCCTGGATCACTGTGCCTTGACTGCAGCATCCTACCTTATCTCACACCCATCTACAAATATATTTCTACACCCCCACCTTCATTGACCTGAGATAACCTCCCAACTCCTTATTTCAAAGGCGGGGAAACTGAGGCTCAAAGTGGTACGTGGCTGGAGGATTAGAGAAGCGTTTGGAGCCAGCCTCCAAACTGGTTTCCAAGCTTGAATCTTTCAATTAATATTAGCACCTTTCCGAGACCCTGTTTTTTCATCCGAAAAAGTTGGGTATTATAAATCTAAGGGTGTAAAAAAAAAAAAGGATAAAAAAATAAATCTAAGGGTGTTAGTGATTAAATAAGAACAAAAGTTAGAACCTGTTGCACAGTATGTTAGTACAGTTGTCCCTCGTTATCCACAGGGGTTTGGTTCCAGGACACACACATCTAGGATACCAAAATCCAGGAATGCTTTAACTCCTTGGATAAAGAAGCATAGCATTTCCATATAACCTATGCACCTCCCATACACTTCAAATCATCTTGATTATTTATTATATCTAAAATGATATAAATGCTATGTAAGTAGTTGTTATACTGTTTAGGGAATGACAAGAAAAAAATGTGTACATGTTCAGTACAGACATGTTTTTCCCTAATATTTCCCATCCACAGTTGGTTGAATCCACAGTGGAAATCTACAGATATAGACGAAGACTAATGGAAGCTACTGTTATCAAGATATAATATAGGGGCTGGGGATTTAGCTAAGTGGTTCTGCCGCCTGCCTCCCAAGCACAAGGTCCCAAGTTTGATCCCCAGTACCAAAAAAAAAAAAAAAGACCTAATATAGGTTCATGGCTGCAGGCACCACTGTGGGGCTAGACTACCTCTTGTGAAACTCTCTTTGCCCCTAGCACCATTTGAGGCAAGTTATTTGAGCACTCTGCTTTTTTCCTTGTCTGTAAAATTGTGATAATCAAGTACCCTCATGCTTACAGCATAGCAAACTAATAGAAAAATAACTGGCACATTGTAGATGTTCAATAAATGTTAACCACTCTCAGCTTAGTGGCTAAAGTACGACTATAACTCATGTCTGTGGACTTCAAGTTATCTTGCCTCCAACACCTCTAATCCACATACTTAGTCTAGAGTGTCAAGGTTAAGCTCCTTTTTTGAAGTTCCAGAAAAAAAGGAGCTCTGTCCATTAAAAAATAAAAAATCAAGATCTCAACCTGTCTCCCTCTTATGAAAGCCTGAGAATTTTGTGGCTCTACCACTATTGGCAGAAGCAAATGTAAGGAAAATATTCTTATTCTACTGAGATAGAATGAAGAGTAAAGTCACTTGAGAAAGAAAGATTATTTGGGAGGTTATGGTGTAGGGACACTAAATTTTAGCTTGAAAAACATGGGAAATATTACCTAAGTATTGGATAGGTATTATTAGTAACTATTGGTAAGATCAGATCAGGAGATGATGCCACATTCCAAGGCTGTAAAAAGTACTAGACAGTAAATACACTACAGGCAGGAACTGTCTTGCACATTTTTATTACCTATTCTGGAGCATAGAAACAAATACAAAGTGTCTAAATTAAGAACTAAAATTTAGTATAGGCCCTTTTGGTATAAATTTGAAAGATCCAAGAGTAATCTGGATTATTCAGAGTAATCCAGTGGAGATAAACAAAACCTGGCCAATAAAGAGATTGGTTTATTCCAGTGATAGAATGAAAGGAAAAGGATATGAACATGAACTTAGTGACTAAAATGGTAGGGTAGGATTATTCTCAGCAAAGGGAACAGAGACAATGAAAACAAGGCTAAAAATGATTAAACAGCAAGAAGCTGTGGGGAAGGAGAGAGTTGGGGAAAGTGTTTCAGAAGGTCATGTGCATATTGAAGCAGAGACTAGCAATTCTTGTATTAATAACGATTGTTCTGTGTTAAGCCAGACCTGGTGCCACCCACCTATAAACTCATATACAGGGGAGGCTGAGGCAAGAGGATCATAAGTTCAAGACCAGCCTGGGCAATTTAGTGAGACCCTATCTCCAAAAATAAAAAGGGTTGGAGATGTAGCTCAGTGGTAGGATGCTTACCCAGCAAGTGTGATGCCCTGGTTCAATCCCCAGTACAGAGAAGGGAGGAAGGAGGAAGAAGAGAGAGAAGGAAAAGTAACTTAATAAGTAAAATCTCAAACTTAGACTTTTAGCACTGATGGAAATCTCTTGATGAGGAGGAGGACTGAAGAATATGGTCACATCATCGTACAAGGAAAACAACATAGGATTTGGAGTCAGAATTGGGCCCTAACCCTGGCTCTACTCTTTATCACACATGTGGTCTTAACTTAGTTATCTAACTCTACCCCTGATGCGAATTCTAGTAGAGTAGTTGTTCAACAAGTATCAAATGAGTGAACTTTTGAACTGAGAGGTAACATGAACAAGAAAGTCAGGGTTGGGCCGGGGATTTAGCTCAGTGGTTTTTGCCGCCTGCTGCGCAAGCGCAAGGACCCGAGTTCAATCCCCGGTACCAAAAAAAGAAAAAAAAAGAAAGTCAGGGTGCCTGAATTAAAAGCCCATCTCCACCCATATTAGCTAATTAACCTCTCTCCATAGCACTGCTGTTCCATCTGTAAAATGGAGGCAGTAACAATTCCCACAGCATAGAGATTTTGAAGTTTCCATGAGTCTATATTTTGTTTGTTTGTTTTGCTTTTTTGGTTTTTTGAGACAAGATCTCCCTATGCAATTCAAGCTGGCCTTGAACTCACCTTGTACCCCAGGCTGGCCTTGAACTCCTGGCAATCCTCCTGCCTCAGCCTCCTGAGTGCTAGGATTACAGGTGCACATCACCACACCCAGTTGTCTCTATATTTGTAAAGCAGTTACAGGGTAACTAGCATAAAGTGTTAGATTAATGATTTTAAAATATTCCCAGCCGGGCATGGTGGTGCATGCCTGTAATCCCAGCACATGGGAGGCTGAAACAGGAGGATCGCTGTGAGTTGGAGGCCAGCCTGGGCTATAAGGTGTACTCAAGACCTGAACTACATAGCAAGACCTCGTCTCAAATCAAACAAAAAAATTTCCACCCATAACTTGGAGATCATAATACTGGACTTACTGTGAAGATTCAAATGCTGTATGTAAGATGCTAGAGAGAAGATGCTTAATAGATTTTATTTTCCTTCTTTATCACCCTACCTACACCTTGTTACCTTGGAAACTCTGATTATTGCTGCTATTGGCTTCAAGGGGATCTTGCTTGGTCTAAGCAACTGATTCTTTGATTTAAAATTCCTAGATTTCCAAGGAATATTTTGATTTCCTTTAGCTCAGTTGAGAAACTCAAAATGAATTTGCTGGAGTCCAGGAGAAAAAAAAAGGAGGGGGGACAAACCCAGGGAACCAAAAATGTAAACCCTGCTCCTTGTTCCATCCCTTGGTACTTCCAGGCTTTAAAATGTGCTAAGAAGATTCTGCTTCTTAGTGCTTCAGTTTGAACCCATCTCAATTCCTCTTCTAGAATCCCGCAGAGCATCAGCTGGCCAATTCATTACAAGGCAAGTTCTTTGTATTTAGAAGAGGGAAGAAAGAGGAAGAGTACTTATTCTCAAAAGGCAGTAAGTAGTCAGAAGCCAGAAAACTTAACATGGAAGCCAAGACTTATAGTTTTATTAAGGTCTAGATCAGAGATCAGCAAACTATGGCCCTGAGTCCAAATCAACCTACTACCTGTTTTTGTAGTTTTACTGGAACACAGCCACACTCAACAGGTGCACAGCTTATGTAATTGTTTACATATTCTCTCTGGCTACTTTTGTACTACAGTAGCAAGCTTAAGTTGTTACACATAAGACCCTATAGCACTCAAAACCAAAATTATTTACTACTTGGCCCTTTACAGAAAAAAATTAATAACCCCTGGTCTACACAATTTGCCTGGAATTTTATTTTAAGTATCCTCAGGGCAAAAATTCTTCATTTTCATCAAGTCTTCTACTCCATACTTCTCAGTCTTTAATACACATACAAATCATTTGAAGAGCTTATTAAAGATCTTGTTAAAGTGCAAATGCTGAGTTTGTAGGACTCTGAGAAGGTATTCTGTTTCTGACTAGCTCTAGGGCAGTGATGGCGAACCGTTTACAGACCAAGTGCAGAAAATGCAACCCAAAACCCACTTATTTATTACAGAGTACCAATACTGCAATTAAACCTGAATTCTGAGGTTTTAGTTTGAAAAAACAACTCATACATTAACATCTTTTGTCTTAAAAGAAAAACACAATAACAGAGTTTTCAATGATACAAACAGCTTTTTATTGAAAGGTGAAAGTTTGCACTTGGCAGGCTTTTGCACAATTAATGTGATCTTTGCTATTTTATTCATACTAATAATTTGTCAAACGTTAGCTGGGGTGACTTGGCTCACGTTCCGACAAAGATGGCTCTGCGTGCCTGCTGTGGCACACATGTCGTAAGTTTGCCACCATTGCTCTAGGGTGCTCCTGGATCAACTTGATCCCCTCGGTTTTTTGTTATCAATTACCCCTGTCACTTTTCCCCTCATTATCTAGCTTAATTTCTTTGA